GACTTTATCCACCTGGGACACAGGGGACAGAGGAGTTGGCACCACCACAGCAGATGGAAGTCACTGCCACTGCCTGAACCCACCTCAGATCTTCAGTTTGCTCCAGGCAGGAGCCAGGGAAACATCACCAGCAGCCGAGTGAACAGTTTAGAGACACTCATCTGAGCGAGCAGAGCCGATTTTGCCTGGAGCAAAGGGAGGCACAAAGCAGCAGCGTTGCCCGGCAGAGCTGGATCAGGGGCGCCTGCAGCTCCTCAGCGAGGGCTCAGCACGGAACAGCCCCAGGAGAACAGGGAGAGCCTCACCCTCCTCTCGCCCTGCGTGCTCCAGCTCTGCCAGCAGCAGCAGAAAGGCTTTTGCTCCTCTTGTGCAGCCCGATCAAAGCTCTCGTCGCTGCTTTGCAGGAGGAAGGATTCAGAAGCAGGAGCTGCCTCCTCTCCCATCTGCAAGGGCTCGCTCCACATCTTCCTCCAGGGCTTGAATGCGAGAAGCAACAAGCCTGGAGCGACAGCACAGGGAGTAGGTTGGGTATGAAGTACTGCTTGAAATGCATCACATAAAAAAAAGGAATAAAGGCACTTATCAAACTCACCTGAGCAGCATGAGAAAAATACACAAATGCAAGTCCTGGGAAGAGCAGCTTTAAGGAGGAACAAGAGGGAAAATTACATTTGCAAGCAAAATGTGCCAGAAAAAAGCTCAGCTTGTCCTTTCCCAGCCCCTGCAAAGCCCAAGCTGACAGTGCCTGTGGAGAGCAGCTACAAAGCACTGCTGAGACCGAGGGCTCAGAACTGCTGCTGTTTTGGTTTGGGCCACGTAGCCTTACCCTGATCTTATCTGGCCCCATCTCCAAGGAGCAAACAAAAGGAAGAAGACACAGAATACTTATCACAACACAGATTTAATTTCTTAGGCAGTTATAAAATTACAAAGAGCGACGGGCTAGCAGTGAGAGCCAGACACTTGGTGAGGTGGAATGTTAGACAGATTTTTCCACTTATCGACACAGATACCAAACAGTCAGTGAGCACTGCAGGATGCAGGGTTTTCTCCAGGTAAGGAAGCAAATGCAAGAGCAAATAGATCCAGGTAGACCTAGGGCTGAGTCAACACCCCACAGAAACCCAGAGCTGCAGGTCTGGGGAGGACTCCCCACTCCTGAGTCGGACACATGCAGGGGCCCTGCAGCCACATGGCCAAAGCCACAGCACTGACACCTGTAAGGAGCACAACGGCAACTGTTTGCAAGCCAGAATTACAACTTCTTGCCTGTTATTTTCAAAGCAGTGTGAGATGAGATTTGCCAGTCGGAACAGCATTAAAATGAAGGCATGTCATGATTAGAAAAATAGGAATTTGCTGAATTCCTTTGGTTGTACAACTGGAATCTGAAAGGATTTATTTACAGTCAGAGCCATGCTTTCTTCATTGCAAGCCTTTCACAGGCCAGCAGATTCCAGGAAAAAGAAAGGCCTGCTCTCCACATGTGGAGAAGACACTCGGGCCTTGCTCTCAGATTTTAACAGGTTAAATAAAGTTGACTGTTAGCCAGGACAGCTGGAGCACAGAATAAAGCTTCCCAAACCTCCGCAGTGATTAATCCCCACCAATGCTTTGGACAAAGACTCCTGTTGCTCTGCAAACAGCAGTGGAGCATCTGCACACACCAGTGGGATACTGAACAGCTCAGCAACCCACAGGGAAAGAAATCCTACTGTCCTACTGCATGCTGCTTGGTGCTAATGCCATGGTTGGAGCCAGGAAAGCACAGCATGGGATGTAACAGAGCGCTGTGCTCGGGCTCGGTGCTCACCCAGCCCGGGGCTCCTCTGCTCACTCCTCCCTTTTCTCTATTCCACACAGGTCAGACCAAGTTCCCTCTGTGCAGACACCTGTCACTGCATTAAAGGTCTTCTCAGGTATTTATTTGCATTCAGGCAGACTTGAAAAGCCACCACCTCTACCCTCACCCTCTGCAAAACACAACACAGCCAAGAAACTCGCCGTGCAGGACCCGGAGCAGCAAGGCACAAGCACACACCTGATCCCAGAGGGAGCACTCGTGCCAACGTCTTGTTCAACAGGGCACCACAACAAACAGCTTTTACCAACCTCTTGATGCTTTCTACTTCCTCCTCCTCCTCTGCCAGGCCCTGCCTTTTAACTGCTAGATTGGTATCTATCACTTGTATTTTGGAAACAGCGACATAAGAAGAGACCAGGGCAGATAAAAGCTTTCTGCCTCAGAACTTGAAATACAGAGTAAACAGACAGATGTCGAGACAGCAGCCGAGGACCTGCACTCGCTGCCCATTTGCACATCAAGAGAAACAGCTCCTTCCCTAGGTACTCACTGGGAACTGATCCCACTGCAAGCTAAGACCTGAGTTTAGGATTCCAAGTTTTTCAGTGTTCCCCCTTCCCCAGCTTTGGTTGTCTCAGTTCTCTGCCTCAACCCTCCACTGAGTTAAAAGCTATCAAGAAGTGCAGCCCATATGGAGAGAGAGAGAGAGAGGCTGTACAGAACAAACACTGTCCTTCCAAGGAAGGTCAGTCTACGCTGAGAGGGACTGCACAGGTGTTGCCATATCCTGTGACCAGGAGCTTGTGGCCACAGCAGGGCTCGAGCCTCCTTGGCTTACCCTGGGTCTGTCAGAGCATCAGAACAGAAATGTTTAGACATCACCTGATTCACAGAGAACAACAGTGCAATCACATGCTCCACACTCAGGCGAGGATGCAGCTGCAAACAGCATTTCTGGTTATGTTTAAAGAAAAAAAAAAAATAGAAATACATCTTTGTGTCACTGGGATAAACCCCCAACCTGAAAGGCTTCTAGCTTTGGTAGCACACCACAGCAGGGTGGTTACTGAGGGCCTAAGGCCATCACAGGGAAATTACATCAGTCATGTTTTATCTGAGAGAAAGTTTATATCCTCATGCAATTAAGCTACTGTCACCACTCTTAAATACACAGCCAGTGGGGACCAGAAGTGACCTGCTCCACCCTACCAGCTGGTCACTAACCTCAGAACATTAATATTTTTGCTCTATAGAAAGATTTTCTCTGTTACAACAGCAAGAAGATACTTTTATCTGGCTTTCAGCTTCTATTTAAGAGTGAACCAAGTAGAGCACAGCAGCTCCACAGTGTGTGGCTCAGGAACAGGAACACACTACAGCATATGGAAGACACAAATACAGTGAATATGGGATCTCCTACTCACCTGTGGAAAATAAGGTATGGAAATTAAGAAGAGAATAAAATTAGTACAATAAATGATCTCCATTTTTAACAGTAAAGTTAGTAATTACATTTAGGGGTGTAACATGACCTTTGCCACACTCAGGAGTTGTAAAACTTGTGTGCTTAGCAGACCTGTGTTGCTGGTGCATGTTTACTGCTAACTGTGCTTGTGGAGTCTAGGCCAAACCTCCAAGGATGTTATCAGGAATGTTAACCAGCTTTAGTCTGGAATGAGAAGACATCTCCTGGGTGGTTCAGTTTGCCAGCAAAGCTCACTGAGCTTAAATTTACTTCAAGACTTGTATTTCACCCTGCAGCTTGGAACTTCACAGCAAAGCTGAGAGCAGTAAAGCAGAATATAAATAAATAACTGCAGACCATGGAGTTGAGTTGTCAGCCAGACCTTAAAGTCAAGAGACCAAGTGAGACTTCAGCATGACTCAGGGGTTTGCTGGGAACGTGCTGGGTTCTGGAGAGGACACCACAAGCCACTTCAACCAACTACTTAGGACAGTCAAGGGTTTGCAGTGAACAAACAAGCCTGATCCCTTCTCTCCCACACACGCTTGTGTACAAACACCTTCCACTGACATGGACTCACAGCAGCCTCCCTGACAGAGCCCTCCTGGCAGGGGCTGCCACCTTCTTTGTACTTGTAGAGGCAGGAGAAGCCCATCTGCACACACAGGGCTCTGGGGACACAGCCCACTGCCTGCTACTGCTCCAGGGAAGACTTGTTCATGGTACCCAATCCCAAATGAACATCACTGCCTAGCTGTGGTAGGGAGCTCACACATAGCTGGAGCACTCAGCCTCTTCTGTCCTCCTCTTAAGATCTGCAATTTCTTTGCCTCTCTTTATATTTACTTCTTTGCAAGCAGTCAGTAGAGGGAAAGGAAACAACCCACATTGCTACACAGAAGGCAAAGCAGGCTCATTTTGGCAAAGGGAAGGAACACTCACCAAGTACTTCACTAATCTCTTGCTCAATAACTGTTATCCAAGACTTAAGAGAAGGCACATTACAACCCTAAAAATAGTCTGCAGCACTGCTCAGCCTTGGAAAGCCCTAGTTAGTGTCAGGGCAGTTAAGGATTCACTCCAAAACTGCCAAAGAAACTACCAGTCCTTGAGTGTATCTATAAGAGGTACTCTGATGAGAGGGAGAATGGAAAAAAAAAAAAAACCAGAAAGAAAACCATTGTTATGTAGCAGTAGAGAGCCCAGAAGTAAATGAAACTTTCAAAATCATTTATATTTACATCAGAATCTGAAAAAAAATCAAGAACTTTCGCTATTAGAGCAGTACACTCAGCCCCAGACTGAGAAGAAGCAGGAATTGAGAGCCTTCTAGCAGGAAATCTTAAGGCTGTTTATAGAGTGGGGTTGCCAAACTCTACAGGGACTTCCCTCCAGCCTGACAGAATCCTTGCTTTGGATAATTCAAAAAGGTATAAAAAAAGGTTATTGCTACTCTGCCAAGAAAACAGGACAATCTACAGGAAAGAAAGAAAGTGCTCTCCAAGTCTTTTCTCAAAAACCCACAAGCTTATCAACCACCACAGGCTACAGACACCCAAGTACCAAAGGTGTACAGACAAGATTCTCTGACAATCCTTCCCTCATTCTAGCTCTTCTTCCTGCAGCAATTCCTTTCCTTCCCTGTAAAGGCACTTTCTGTATTCTATATCCTTACGCAGGGAAACACTTCCAGTTTTCCATCCCAACAAACAGAACAGTCCCACAAATACACAACATTCAGAAGGAATTTTAATTAACAAAATGGTCCAGGAAAGGGAAGGGAGAACCCAAAAAAAACCAGGCCATTGCATTTGAAAGGTTGCATGTCAGTCACTAGGTATGCCTGCAAGCCCATGCACAGGAAACCATTTGGACCTTTGTCAGTGCAGAACTAGTCTCAGCTTCCAGAACCACTTCTGTACTCCTTCCTTATATAGGCTAAATATTATATACATATATAAAAAAAATACAAACTTGAGTTTGTTATAAAGTGGCTTCTCTCTCTCTCTCCCCCTCCTATGCTTGCTTGGCACATGAATGCATGCAAAGCTAAGTAGGCTCTGAGGGCTGCACAAACAGCAGGTTTTGGCAACAAAAAAAAAATAAACACAGCTAAAATAGATAAGCAAGATTAAAAGCCACTGAATTGAAAACCATATATTTTTCCAATTGTATAGAATTAGAACTACAGCTACGACTTAAAACTGTAAGAGTCTGTCATCCTCTCTCCCAACTCATGTCAAAGTTCATAGCAGCATAACACGAGATTCCTCAAGAAACGTCCAGCCAGTGTTCTCTGCTTCAGGAGTGAGTTCACAGGTCCGAGTTCAGTCTGTCCGCAGGATCATGGGGGGATGCTCGCTGTCTTCGTCCAATCTAAGTGAGTTGGTTTCATCTTCCAGGCAAGCTCCACCCACAGCACCCAGGTCATCCGTATAGGCTGGAGAGAAAGGAACAAGGAGTTGGGGAATCAGCAGCAACAAACTAAGGCTTAGATCCAGAGTGAATGAGTGGAGCTGAAGTACCAGGCATTACTTCAAATAGTTTCACTGCCACCCTATGTTTGTTTTTATCATGACTCTGTTTCATGACTGTGTTTCTCTAAGCCAAGAGCAGTTCATGATCAAAATTAAACTCCTGTGAGTGTGCAATGCATACTGGAGCTTTGGGAAGGCTGCTGTTTTCAGCCTCCACTGATGCAGTGCAATACAGATATGTGCTGAACTGCCCTCCCTTTGCAGCGAGGCACTAATCTGGGTGCAAGATACGGCAAAAGCTCCACTGACTTGGAGAGCTGCAGCATTAACCAAGTTCTCCTCCTCTTGATTTATCAGAGCAGTGAATCAGGCTAAAAGGTCGCTGTTCCCATAAAGGAGCAATAGCAGCATTTATCAAACTTTTGTAGAAATTTTTTTTAAAAAAGGGAGCAGTGCTATAATTCAGATGCTTTGTACAAGGTTTGGGTGCAGAATTGCCTCAAGAACCACGTGGCAAATACTGAAACTATCACTACAGCCATCAACCACAACTCAAGACAAAATTCTACCCAGAAAGCAGCAAAGACAAGTGGCCCATCTACAGAAAGCTACTGCACACCACGAGTGCTCTTTTCCTACTGCTCACCAAGGCTCCACCTCGCACGCGCGGTTACGCAAAGCTCGGTGCGGACGTGGACCAGCTCACGCAGCCATCTAGAAGGAAGCAACAGGCAGAGGTGCTCCCTGCCCCATTCCCAGCCCTCTCCTTACCATGCCTGCTGGGTGAGGAAGGCACATATGTACCTTTAGTGACAGCGGCACTGTACGTCTGCGCTACCAACGGCCGGTCGTGGGATGCAGACTCCAGAATTTCGTTGGCGGGCTCCATGCTGCCATCGAGCCTGCCAGGAAGAGAGGGGTTAGCTGGAGAGGTGATCTGCCCGGGCACAAGACAGCTTGAGCTGGCAGCCACGGCAAAATATTTCATCTGGTGTGCAAGAATAATGTATACAGAAATGCAACAAGAGGAACTTGGTCCCTTTATTCCAGAGGCCTGGCTAGAAAGCACCTGACAGTTCAGGTTGAAGACTCATCAGCATCATGTTTGCCTCTGACACAGCATCAGGATCTAAATCCTAGTAGCTCATAGTAGGAAAAGAAGACTCAAAACATTGGAATAGGCTTTTTTAATCATGCAGTCTTGTAGGTTATCTTGAGCAATATTGTAGGTAATCTTGAGCTCTGTCACAACAGAAGCGGTTGCTTCTTACGCAGATACTATAAAGCCCTCTAGAGAAAATATTAGAGCATTTCAAAGATTAACAACTTGGTAAAAGCTTTCCTCTATGAGGATTCACTTCATCTCTAACCAGAGGTCATGTCTTCAAATGTCCAGATAAGTGTATGATTTTTGACCATAATTGTAGGTTGACCAAAGCTGCAAACCTGAATTATCATCACGAGTTATTATCTTTAATTCCATGATTGATCAGGTAATTTGAGTATATTACCCTAGCTTTTCCTGCCAACCCTTATTGAGAAACTGCATTGTCCTATTTCTCAAGTGCTCTACAGAACTATTACAGAACACCAGCTGCCTGGCCTATATGCAAGGAAGTTTAATAAGGACACCAGCAGAGAGAGAGCAGGGATAATTTCATAGGCCAGTTCCCCTCTGTGAAGTCAGAGTAAGATCTTTCTCATGTTTGTAACCACTTCATTTATTGATGAAGAGGACGGTGTCACACGTTTCAAATTCTTGTTTAAGAACTCAACTCAAAGTGCCAAGAGGAAACAGGAGCACAGAGAGAACAGCGATTGATCCCTCCCTGCACTGGGACAGGGTTGAGTTTCTGCTGGTAAAGCAGTGCTTGGTGTAGGGGATACCTGGAAGGAAGGCTCAGGGGGATTCTGAAGTTACTCATTCATGTCAGAGATCTGGAAAAAGATTACTTTGAAGAAACGAGCTGTTCTAAGTCAGACTTTTCCAGAACAGAACTAAGTTTGAGAAGAATCTGGATTTTGAGAGGAAATAAAATACAAGTTCTCAGCTAACGTGGACTTACTTGTGCTGCTTCATTAATGTGCACTCGCCTCCCTCCTGGGGGTCTAAGTTGTACATGTAGAGATACCCATCAGCAGCTCCCACCAGCAAACGAGGGATCTTCTGGATTCTAGAAAGGTTTAGAGCACAAGTTATTTAATAACACATTATTGTATAAAAGATTATTAAATAACATAGAAAGCATACTCTCCTCCCTTCCCATGATTTAATGGTCAGACTCAATCTCAGAGGGTTTTCCAACCTAAATGATTCTATGACTTTAAGGCATTATTTTCCACACTTTAGCTCCTGGACCAGGAATGCTGTTAACAGTTAGAGCACTCAAGAAAGAACCGTTTGTAAAAGATTTATAGCATAACCACATTTTGGAGCTAACAGGATGCCACAGGAATCAAGCAATTACATACAACTCAGTAAAACATATTCAGAAGTTACCATCCTGTTATCAAGCTTTGTGCAACTCCAGAGACAAATATTCTAACGGGAAGGATTTACTTATTTGAGAAATGTTACAAAGCTTAATTATTGCTTAAAGGGTGCTTTGAGATCAGAGGAGTAAGAGTACAGACATTAAGTCAATTTAGCATAAAAACTATAAAACCCCCACAAAGTAAGTTTACTACTGCTCAGCTTATTACTTTGGTAGCTGTGCCAAATGGGACCTGCCTTTGAGGAAGACAGAATAAAAGATTAGATTTAGTCCTCAAAATTAACTTTAATGAATGCTATGCTGTTTTAGAGACAAGAATTATATGAACTTGCTTTCAAAGACTTCTTTAATGGTTAGGCTGGATTGCCTAATTTTGCAATCCACTAACAACATACACCATCACTCCCCATAGTACTAATGGAAACAAATGCCATAAAAGCCCATGGGTCTGTTCTCAATATTCTTGTTTCAAAATTAAAAGACATCTTTAAACAACGCTTAGAAATGGGCTATTCCTATCCACATATATCCAAATATTATGCCCTTTCCTCCTTCTCTCACAGGACTGAGAGGTGTTAGCTCTGCCACGTTGCTCTTAAACTGGAATGATCACAGGTGAGCACTGCTCTGCTGCAGATGAAGCTGTGTTTTACAGTGGCAGCTTCTCCAGAGCCCAAACCCAGCAGGGTGGGCAGTGCAGGCTCTCTTTCTGTACTCACGTGGCAAGTGCACAGATGTTTTTGTGCCCACAGAAGGGCAGACGGACTGTAGCAAAGGCTCTACCCTGGTTGAACATCTCTGTTACTTGAGAGGGCAGATAGCTCGTTGAGGCCATCAGCACTTTTCCAAAGTAACCTGTCCAGGTTGTAGGCTCTTCCTGAGGTCTGTGAGACAGAAGAGAAAAGTGACCCACTTTGCCTTCACCTTAGAGAGAAAAGTGTGTAAACACTTGAAAACATTTTATTTTAAAAGATATTAAGCAGCTGCTTCTCTTCAGAAATAACTAATACCCTTGAGAATTCTAACACCCTTCATTTATACTATAGGACAAAATGTGTCCTCCAATACCCTCAGCCTGTTATTTAAGCATGTTTGATTGTAAACTGATACTTCTGTATATAAGATTGCATTTTATAACATCCATTATACAAGAGCAGAATCTACTGGAAAGCACTATGTTTCAGGATTTTATTAATCTGTTTATCACTAAGCAAATCATTGTTTCCAGTAACTTCCACTGAAATGGAATTAAGACTGTCCTCTCAAATAATAAATAGGAACACTTCACAACTTGGTGTCTTTCAAAGCTCCCTATATGCAGCTGGAAGGCATTGCTGATATAGCCCTTCCCATATGGATGTCAGAGGAGGTGAAACAAATGTAACTGAAAATGTTAAAACTGCTCCACACTCCCCTGTGAAGGATGGCCAAGTTCTCCTTGGCAGAAAAACACCTTTTCTACTCAGTGGGAGAACAGTACACAGCTCAGCTGCAGTTGCTGATTCATAAGTGACTTCTTATGCCCTTTACTTTACAGTAGAAGTTCAAAAGAAGTCTGTCCACACTTTTGAGAACTCATTCTGTTGAGTACAGTCAACTTTTAATCCTTTTCCTTGAAAAAATCTAAGGCACCTTTGAAACCTACTTTTCTTTCACAGTCTCAAGTTTGAAGATATGCACTGTCTCCGTGTTACTGGATGCAGACAGAAACATGCCATCCATGCTGAAAGCCAATGAACAGATGCTCACACACCTGGGAAAAAAGAAAAAAGGGAAGAAAAACAAGGAAGTCAAACTATTTGGCTTAGTTAAGAAGATTTCTAAAGCCACCACTACTTTGCAAGTAACAAAAAACACTCTTCAGTAATTAGCATTCTGAATTCTCTGATCATTTCTTGAAGCTATTCAAGCAGAAGACTAATGATGTTCAGCTCTGTTTACCAGATATGGGATCAATTAGTAACAATCTGACCCAGTCTTACCCTGCATAAAGTACAGCAGCACCACAGAGTTACTGCTGCCACAGACCACAACACCATTGCACAGTGGCTATCACTGGCCACAGCATTAGAAGGATTCAGAAGAGTAGAGTAAGAACATGAGATGTACTGCTTCTAATGTCCATAAAATACAATTTATCCTACAAAAGGTGACCCACTTTAAACAAGTTCCCTCACCAATAAATTTTAAAAGGCAAGAGGGAGTACAATTCTGACAGGATTGATTTATAGAATTGTCAAATCCAAAGGAAGGAAATGGGGAAATTGGAAAACATTCAAGCTGAAACTGCTATAAGCACACATGCAGGGATGAATGAAGATGAAAACAGGCAAAGAAATCAGGATGCCAGCTCAACTGCTGACCATACTGGAAATCAACCATAAGGAATGAGCATCAGGTAATTAACCCAGCTGAACTTTACCTCTTCACTCCCCTTCGGAATTCAAAGAGTTTCTGTCCCTCTGGAATGGAAAACACTCTTATTACTGTCCCCTGCAAAGGAAAAAACATAAATAGATCACTTTTCATTTCAAGTTCATTCACTATGTACTAGCTCCAGTGAGCAGAGCACAACTACAAGCAGCAAACCACTTTGCTGTTAACTCATTGCTGTGATGCAGCCCAGATACTACATGAAGTATTTATGGAGTCTGTTTGTAGGATGTGTTTGAAGAGTACAGAAACAAGAGGTGGGAGCTACTAATGCAGAGAACAAGCTGTGCATCAAAACCAGCCCTTCTTATCATATTTGATCAGGAAAACCAGCACACTAGACAAGTACCACGAGTGCAATCACTTGGATGTCTTTGTGCCTTTATCAGGTGCAATCAGTTATACCTTTATAGTCTAAGCTTATTACTCAAAGAGCAGAGGCTTCAGACTCTCTAATTTGCACACATTACATGAACAATTTGTCATCACATGCCAAAGACCAGCAAGGCACTCCTCTCTATCTGGATTTTAACTGTCTTGTTTCCATTAGGAAGACAGCATCAAAACAAGACAACTAATTTCTATTAAGTATCCTGCACTAAAGGGAGAAACACTCAGAGGACTGCCCTAATTACAGCCAGATTAAAATGTTTTATTTAAATAACCTTATTATCCAACATTTCACAGCATGGAAATTGTGTCAAATATCATTAACAGATCTTAACTTAGATTTCCCATTTTAACTGTAAGCCATCTTTTCTGGCACTTGCACTTGGAACTGTGCACACTTAAAATACTTAATGCCAAATTTGATTTTTATCACTGTTAGCAAGGCAATCAAAAGCTCCCTTACCTTTTCTGAGGCTGTGGCAAGTTTAGTACCACTTGCATCAAATGCCAAAGCAGCCAAGGGACTATCATGAGCTGGGATCATATTGGCAGCTCTCTGCAGTGAATCAATAACACAGAACCTTAGAACAGTACACGTTAAAAGCTGCATGTGACTGCATATTTAAGCACATTCAAGGCAAATATGGTTCTTAATTTCTGGACAACAGCTTCAATATTTTTTCAGTAACTAAGTACATAAAATTATCACTGAAGCATATACATAGAGATTACAAGCAGCAGGAAGACAATTCAAATAGAAATTACTTGGTTCCACCCATTTGCCCAATTCTACTCAATCAATCATTATCAACACTTGTACTTTCTTTGCTGATATTCTGTGAAGTAAGAGATGCTGCAAACTGTTGCACAGAAACCTAAGTTTCCAGTAATTCCTCTCTGAGCAAGTTCAGTAATTTTCAAAACCTGCATCTTTAGAGGTGGAAACAGCATTCGAAGATTCTTACCAGATTGATGGTGTCAAAGACTTGTACTTCTCCAATAGTTGCACTTCCTGGATAGGCCAGGTAGCAATTATCATTGTTTATTGATAAAGCACACAGCCCTAGAAGGGATGCAGAAAAAGGATTAGAAAAAGGAAAATTCCAAGACTTATGCAGTAAAACTTTCTGATTCCGTGCTTGAATGTCACAAAAATAATTCAAATTATCAACAGAAGTAGAAACAAAGATGAGTAATCTCAGAGTCAACCTGCAATATATGCAACTATTTAGCATAAGTTTGTTTAAAATAAAACAGAAAAGGAACAATACCAATAGAGTTACAATAACTGATTAAACAGCAGAACTTCCCAAGTCTGCCATGATTCCTAAAGCATTAACCTGACAAAGTCTTTAACTATACCAAGTGCTGTCAAAATCCAGCTTTTATCTCTCCTGTTTTTTCCTAACACTTCAACACATCCACTCCAGGAGACCAAATAACTGGGAAGATGCAGTTTAGGGCAGAGTCTGCTACTTGTTCTCAGCTGGATCTAACATGTAGGCTTTCAGAGAACACTCGTATTTGTTATTGTATTTGAAAGCAGAATTAACACCACCACAGTTCCCTGTAGAGATCCTCATACACTGACACAGAAAGCATTTTTTAGAGTTCTGCTGATTCTACCATCACATTTACCTGCAGGATTGGGAGGTGTCTCCCTGATTGTATGTAATACCTTCATGTCTCGTATGTTGTGTATATAAAGAGACTCTTCCAGACATACTATCAGCCTCTAGAAAAGGGAAAGAGGACAAAATGGTGATGTGGAAATGGACTAAATATGGATCTATCAATCCTAAAAGAGTTCTATCCCAAAATGCAGCAGGTACTTTCCAACAGAGAAGAGGTTGTACCCACCTGATGGGGAGAAGCAAGAGTCTGACAGAAAATACACAAGATCCAGCTCTTGACACAAACACTGCACCCCCTTCTCTCAACATCACCAGGGCAAACTGAAAACATTCCCATTACTAGCTTAAGTCAACAAGCCAGAAACCTTCACTTAATTCTGTACCAGTTTACATGTGGAAATAATGGAAATTACTTTCTGCTTTTGCTAAACAGAGAAAACAGACAAGACTTTTTAACCATTCATAAAGCCTGTAACTTAGCCATAATCATTTGTGAAATGTCTTTTTTTAAAAACTCTAAGTTCTTCATCATCTCATTTACTTTGTAGACTACATGTGGATGACTAACTAGACATTACTCATTTTACACTAACTCCCTGTGCCAGAAATCAAATTAGCCACTCTTTCTCTCGTGACTTTAAACAGGAAACCCCTCCTCCCACACTCATTTTTTGGGGGCAAAGTCAGACATTAAGGTTTTCTCCTCCAGATGCCATTCTGTCTAGTTTGAATGAACTGGTTAAAGACAGAGAAGTCTGTACTTGCTGAAGAGCCCACTAATGATTTAGTCATACAGCAAACTATGCTTCTAAGTGCTTAAAAAATTCACCAGTTGCATGATGTTTTTTAGATTTTATTTTTTGAGAGGAATTCAGCAAGCAGCACTTACAACCATAACAATTTAATAGATAACTTTAAATTTTGGCCTGAAGAGAAAATGTCAGTCTTACATACTTTCACATTTAGGATGAAAGGATGACTCACACTGGGAGGGACCTCAGCAGGTCTCTAGTCCAACCTCCTACTCAAAGCATGCCCAGCTTAACTCAGGGTATTTTCCCAAGTAAATACATAAACACAGAACCAAAAATACTTAACCAAATACAAGTACTGAAATGCCACACAGAAACCACACCTGGAAAAGTACTACTAAATTTCAAAATTGTGTCACTAAAGGAAGAGACATCAATCAGCAGAGGAAGTGCCAGAATAAGATCCACAACTCATTTCCCACATTTCCACCCAGGTAAAACCACTACTCACCTGTCTATTGAGTTTGACAGCCAAGATGGTGTTGGAGTAACTGTAGTTGCAAATCTCTGTCCCCTTCTTAAAGTGACAAACTTTCAGCTTGCGTGGAGCTTTAAGGCTAACGATGGCCACCAGACTACTGGAGAAGAGCCTCTCCACAATGCACACATCTTCTGTGTCAGCTGAGCAACCACAGGAACGAGGGAAAAACATAGAGGGACATTTCAGGGAAGAAGAATGATGCACATCAACAGGAAATATTGTCTAAGAAAATCATAGAATCATAGATTCAGTCTATGTAAAAATACAGTTTAAGGCCACAAACATTCTGCCATGACAGCTCAGAGTCAAGGTGGGGCATGGGATAGGCTTTTAAAGCAGGAAATCTACACAGTGAGTGATGATTTCCAAAGATTTCCTCCCCCTTCCCAAAGTTTATATTTCTGAACAGTATCTACTCCCCATATCCAGAATCCAACAGAAAAAATCCCAAAGCTACAAAACCCAGAAAAATCATCAAATTCCAGCATTTCACAATCTTCTTTTATCTCTGCAGAAATTTATGAAAGCAAACCTTTTTGGGCTTTTTTTGTGTGTGTGTGTCTGGGTTTTGTTTTTAAAGCTGTATTATGCTTGAAAGGGTTTCTGATGACCCAAACCCTTGGCATTTCCATTTACCCCTCTATGAAGAGAGAAAGGTTACAGTATCAGAGAAGCTGGTGAAACTCTTGCCACAAGACTGCTGCAGCCACCAATTAGCATTTCCACACATACCATTTTTTACCTGACAGGCCCTAAGAGCAATTTGTGCAGGAATCACTGATGGCCAGCATTCATGCAGAGCCACAAAACATCAGATTTACCAAGTGTTCCTACTATGGGAGCACTGAAAGCAAAGGAGGAACACAAATCCCTGCGTGACGAGACAGCAGGAGGGAGGAGAGTCCAGGATCTCTGGCAAAGATGATTTCAGAGCATTTGATCATAGCACAGCGCTGGACCATGCTGGCAGGAGGCCAAGTCCCACCACCAGTTATCCTGGCATCTCTGCCTCCCCCTCCATCCCATAAAGCTCCTCTCCAAAATCCCAGGAATACAGTTTTCAGGGCAGTGAGAAGCTGGAGAGAGTTCTACCATGCTCTGCAGCTCTTCCACAGCCACTGGCTACACCTGCCCTTTCATTACAGAATCCAATCAAGACAAGTGACTTGAGCCTTTGGCCTTGATCCATCAGAACAAATTTTTCAGGAGTCAGCTTCTGGATTAGCTCAATGCTTAACACATTCCAAACCATAAAACTGCCAGCAAAAAAAGAAAACAACAACGCAGAAGAGCTTGTTTCTGAAGGCTTCTGTTTTGGCCAAGAGAAACATTAAGTAATTAATTTGCACTGTTCCCAGCAGCAGTGACAGAAACTCCATGAAAAAAGTTCTGTTCAACATTCTCAGTATATGACACTGCCATCAGTGTGGGACACATCTGCTTTCAAAGTGCTTTTTCTGGGCAGTTATTTCAAGAAAATGAACACAAAATATTTAATATCTTACATTTTTTTGAGAGAAACAGCCTACTTATGAAAAAGGAGCAGGTTTACACTCTGCATTTTCAGTTCTCCATGCTACATAATTGACTTTTATCTACATCTTGTATTTAATATGGTACTTTTCCAGAGAAGACATAACAGCTCACAGAGGCTTTGAAAATTCAATTTTCTCATGCAACAGGGATAATGCATTTTAGTAATTACTTTGTTTTCAAAGAATTGCTCTCCATTTTTCTGATACTACACAAAACACATGAAAAAGAAATACAAAAATCCGCTTCAATAAACGTACGCAGAGACTGTGAAATGCAGAGGTCCGTGTTCCTTGAATCAGAGTAGCTATATAAAAACTCTCAAATATTTTTAGAGGATGGGTTATCAGCTTTCCATACAAGCCTGGGGTCCTTCAAAATAGTGACATCCTTTTACGAGAGTCAGAAGACCAGCACTCAGAGACCCAAACCCCACAGTCTGACTGCCCCCAGCTCCAGGGCAAGCACAGCTTCTTTCCCCATCCAGGGACAAGTGTGCAGACACAGCTTCTGGGAATTGTCATCCTCCCAGGCAGGCAGAACTGGTATTTCAGAAGAGGAACAGCAGCAGGGATTCATATGGAAATAGTGCTGTCCTATGCTGCACTGATGGGAAGGGTGGGCAGCAGGGAAGGCACACAGGGAAGAGCACTATCAACAACTAAGCTACCAGACAGAAGAAAAAAATTTCAATAAGCAAAATGCCTCAAAGGTATTGATAATCCTTCAGTCACACCATACAAAGACTATAATACAGACAGTTACCTTTAAAGAAAGGCTTTGTGATGGGCATTTAATTAAATTCACTTTAAAATACAGGATGCACCTCTGCTCCTTTGTCTTCCTTTAACAGGAAGAAGAGATAAAATCTCTTCACAGCTGCCAAGTAATTTATGCTTCCCAACAGCAACTATTCAAGAGGGTACCAGGCTATACTGCCCATCCTATGTTCAGCTGACCTGAATTAATCATATGTTTAGCAGCAATAAAGCCCTACAGCAATGCTGTTACTCAGGTTTGGTTTTTTTCTATTAGTATAATCTCCTTTACACTACACAACTGAGCATTGCCAGAAACTCAGATTCAAAACAGAGTAAGAACAAAAAGAACTGCAAAACAAATTAAGTATCAGCAGCGAGGAGAGAACAAGCAAACACATAACAAGATTAGTTTCATAAACACAAGCATGGAGCATCACAGACAAGAGCTGGTTAGAGCTGGCTAGATTATGATCAGCTGTGCCTTTATTCCATTTTTAATCCAAGAACATGAAGCATGTTAGAAGCATTCATTAAGCCTTAAAGCTCCCTCCAATCTAATGCTTGTTTTTACAGTGGGATCAACTGCACAGGGAGTCAGGAGATTTGCTGTCACAGGAGAAGTCAGTGATGGGAGCAGCCAAATCTCCCATCTTTTTTTGTATTTCTCTCAAACACAAGTCAGCTGAGGCATATTCTGCAGTTTAGTTTAAACACCTACACAAGAGCTGGCAGATTAATCTTCCAGAAGATATGGAGGGGTCCTTAACAGTGCTCACTCAACACAAGGAGTATTTAGACCCACTTAAACTAAATTGGGAAGTGGGAGGCATCATGTTTGGGAGGCCTCAATACACCTTTCCTTGAGGAAAGGAGGTACCCAATGCACAGGAAGCCCTCCACCCTCATATCAAGTTTTAACAGGCATGGTTTGCAAGTCCAAGACTGAAAATGATTTGACTCATACAAAGAAAATGAAGGCCTCTCAATATTTCTATCTGCTCTGAGCCAAGACTGTTTGGCTTCTACAGGCTGAACCACTGGATTTTTTGTAGCGACAGAAGACTAATGGGTTCAAACTCATAGAGAGGAAATTCAGGTTCAGCATATGGAAGAAATTCTTCCCTGTGAGGGTGGGGAGGCCCTGGCACAGCTTCCCCAGAGAAGCTGTGGCTGCCCCTGGATCCCTGGCAGTGTCCAAGGCCAGGCTGGACAGGGCTTGGAGCAACCTCGGATAGGGGAACTAGATAATCTTTAAGGTCCTTTCCAACCCAAAACATTTTACTAAATGTTACCTCATACTCTGTGCTCAGCTTTCACACACTTAACACTCAGAAAACTTAAAATATCCAAGAGTTTAAGTCAATACAAGCATCCCAGAACAGTCTGAACACAAGACTGGAATCGGCAGGTCAAAATTCCAACTCCAGCTGCTTTTATCAGCTTATTCAAGATGTTGAACAAGACACTTTATCCAATCTGTACTTTTCTCTCAAGGACTACTCAGAAGATGCAGTTCTGCCCAGTGCAGCCAACCTCTCAGGATATTTTTCAGTGTCTTGTGTAACAGGGAATCATCTTCACTGAGTCTCCTGGGGTGACACCAGGCCAGGCACTGGAAGTGCCTGGCATACTGCAGAGGTCAGGTACATAAACTCCATGGTAGAAAATGGAATCCAAGCCACTTATTAACCAGTACAACCAGACCATGACTCAAATAGGAAGACGTAGCTACAACACAATTTAATCCGACCACAGGTGCCTAATTTGAACCTCACAATTATTTCTCTCCATTGACTGTGTACAGAAGCAGGCTGTCATCCCAGGTAATGGGTGATCTGAATCACACCCCATTTCCAAACTTCACATGCCACAGGGTCAGGTCACTTTGGGAATGGAGTCTGAGGACAGCTCTGTCATGGGATCCCACTGTAAATGCTGACATCACAACAGTTGGTACCACCTGCTCACATGGAGTTTACAAGAAAGCAAGGATACTCATGCATAGCATTCATAGCTGACTTATTAGCATCTCACAAAAGGTAAGTCTGTGAACTGCTGACAGAACAGGGGATACCACTTCTCTCCCAGGACTCCCTCCGTTTCACCTCAGATCATACTCAGCTGTGATCACCATTGAGAAGTTATGTGAATCTGAGTTACTCACTCTTTTGGATGAGCAAGTCTGCAGCTATCATGTTAAAGAATAATTTTCTAACAGAAAGTATTAGGATAAAAAAAATAATTAAGGCTTTGTTTTCTTATTCGATAAAGGTATATTAGTGCTTTCATGCCCCAACAGCCAGTATGAAGATCCAAAAGACTCTCTCTCACATGAGTAAATTGTTATTTTTATACCCAGCTGCTATGTAACCTGGCTGGACATGATTAGAAAAGCAGAGTTCTCACAGCTACTACCAAATTTCATACCATACCAGCTAAATTTAAATACAGAACACTGATTCATAGTTTTACCCTTCCTGCTATTACTGTATTTGTGTGATATTTACACTTAAGGTTTCTTTTATGCCAATTTCAAACAACCTGTGAAAAAAATGAAACATTTCTTATTCTTCCCACATCAAGCCAACTAAGGGGATTAAAAAAAAAAGGAAAAAAAAAAAAAAAAAGAAAAAGATACTCACTGCATTCATAGATCTGCTCTAATTTGTCCACAGAAGAAAGAGAGAAGAATTTGTAGCCTGATTTACTGCCAACTGCAAGGGATCTGCAAAAGAAACAAGCCAGTCAGGAACATCACCTCCATCAGCTGTGATTACCCTTGGAGAGATTCTTACCCAGTTCTAAACCTCCAGCTGGGTTAGCTCAATAAGGAAAGTGATAAAGAGTTTGTCCAAAAAAGCCCTAACAGACACAGACAGCTTCCTCAATTCTGAATAGACCAAACAGCTTCAGAATTACAGAATCTGGGTGTGGAATTCTGCTTCACATTTATGAAATGAGAGTTCACAGCCTAAAGTAAACCTACTGCCCAATTCTCACCGGTGATTTCTTCACACAGGCTAAAAGCTTTGGTGTGGAGGGAAGATGATGACTTGAATAATGTAATGCAAACCAATTACATCATTGCCTCATCATTAGAGGTGACCTCCAGGACCTTTTAAACTGGGCTGTCTGGGGATTTTTGTTCTTTACAGTGTAACCGTCCCCAAGCATCCCAGAAGAGTTTTCATATTAAAAAAAAAAAAAAAAGTAATTAAAGACTGCCAACTCTAATTTTCTCTGGCTTTACGTGATGATGTTCTAGCACCCCCACTGTCAGGTCTCAGTCTTACAAATACTCATACTGAATCTTTGATCAGAGGCACCCTCTAAAAAATGCTAGGGACTGATGTTAAACAGATTGAACAATAGCAGAACATTAAAAAACTGACTAAAACCCCTTCTTTCCTCCATTACTCAATTTTCACACTTAGCTCACAGACCATTTAATTGCTTTTCCAGACAGAGTCAAAGGCAGGTCTTAAATTTTAAGCTAGAAAAACCTTTAGCCTGTCTTGCAGGTCTTTACACATCAAGGCAGCAGACAATGGCTCATTCTTGTTTCCCCTCCCCATCTGGAGGACGATTTTATGCCACAGATAAAGAAAATTAACAGTCAATACAGTTTTACAGAAGTGCATTAGTATGCTTATAGTTCATGTATTTCTTACTGCCAAGAGACATGAAGGAAAATTCCAATAAAATACATTTTGATACCCTAAATTGTAGCAAGTCATTCAACACAGGGCTCCAATCCAACCGTGCCAGTCAGCCTGCCAAAAATGCCTTTTTGAACCCAGCAAGATGATTCTCTACAGTTCAGATGTACTAACAATTAATACTGCATTTGGAATACAATAAAGATTCCTAGATTTCATGTTCTTCCTGTATTTTCACTTCTGGCTCCAAAGTGAGTCTTTTTTAAATTTCAGCACACCCAGAAAATTAAAAAAATGCTCCTTATATAGTTCACCCTCTGAAATTAAGCTACAAAATCAACTTCTGTAGGATGGTATGACACTCTCTTCTAGAAGAAAATACAACTGGCACAATCTGGTTAGGAAATAATGTTTGAGAAGGTTTAAACCTTCAAATTAAAACATGAACCATGCAAGCAAGAGATTCAATTCTACAGATTCAATAACCAAGATATTAAAAAAAAGCATATTAGGCTTAAAGATAGAGAAGCAATCATAAAACAATTCTTTTGCTGCTCCTCTAAGTCACCCTAGAAATACTGAATTTAATTTTCCTTCAGACAAAATCAGTACGTTCAGCAGTCTCCATCTGATTAATCACCAAAGACACTTCAGTGGTTTTGCTCAACTACTTTTGTACAACTCAACAAAAACTCACATTACGCGAAAAAAACCCTGAAACTCTAATCTGGTAAAACAAAGCAATGAGTCAGCTTTTCCTGTATCATCTACTGCTTTCCTCAAAAGAAAGTTTAACAAAGAATGACATTAAAACTGTCACTTTGCAAAGGTAAACAAGCACTCCACAGAGTTAAAAATAAGTGGAGTCACAAGACTCCTTGCAACATAAAGAATCCACAAAACACACAGGATGATTTCCTCACCGAGAACCCCACCAGCACCTATTTGTATTTCTAGGCAGAACTGATTCCTGAATTGTACTTACATACAGAATACATTAAATTGTACTTACATACAGCTTTAAATACAGAATACTGCTGAATCACTGTTTTACTGACAGGATCACTGGAAGCAGCAGAAAGCCCATTTTTCCTCTCCTACGACTATACCTCATTCAAATGAGCTGTAGACAATGGCAAATATGAATTATGTACATGATGAAAATCATTAGACTGAGTAGAACCCAAAATGCAGAAGCACAGAATGGACCTTTCCATCCATGACAACTGCTTTTTGTTATTTATTTCAGGATCAAGGTGATGAAGTCACAAATTATTTGTTTACACAGAGCAGTTCAAGTCAAGATAATTAAACCCATTTCAGTGTACAAGTGTAACTGCAAAATAACCCTTTTTTCTTCTGGAACAGCAGTCTTGCTTTTGGAGGGTTTGCTTTGTTGGCTTGGTTTTTTTTAAAATGTACTCTTAAATTACTTCTTATGAAACTACTGGAAAAAGGATTTTTATATGTAATAAGAACCCACTAGGCTGAATTATACCAGCATAATCACAGTGATTTAAATCTCCCATCTTCCCCTGTACTGATATTACACTTAAGCCCTTAAGACACCCACAGACATCTAAATGGCCAAATCCACAAAACAAGGACCTAGCCAGAATTACCTCACCTCTGCAAAAATGTGCAAGCATATGGGGAAGAAATATGATCAATAAGCCATTCAGCTCTTGCTCAGATAGACAGTGGCCAACAAGAAGCTGCTGTGGTTTATCAGAAGCTCCTTTAACAGCATAGGTGTTATGCTTTATAAGCACTGATTTTCAGAAGCTGATGAGAGACTGAAATTGAAAATAAAATAAATATTCTCTAAAATGGCTTTTTTTCCTAACATTATGCTATGCACATGTGGGTTTTAGCTCTATTATGTGCAGCCTCTATTACACACTTTAGACTGTAGACTCTGAGCTATTTCATCGTGAAGGTTGTCTCCTCAGTAGAAAATTATCAATATAGCCATGATTTATGGAACTGTGTTTATCCACTTTTTGCAGAGATAATGCTGCAGACTGATCCAAGACTACATAAATCTTGATAGTATTTTCAAGAGTGGCTACCATAAATAATTAAAACCATCCTCATCAAGCAAACAGTGCTGGGAGATTTCACACATTCACTGGAAGATGCTGACACTCGCTCTAAGTGCACTCACCTAAAGTGGGAAATCAGCTGCTTCAGTCTCTCTGGCTCTTTAGGAACAAGTTTTTTCAGCTGGGTTAGAATCCTAAGGTTTTCTTTTGTTTCTTTAATGTACATATAGAAGGAAGAAAACCAGTTTTTCCTTTTCCATATCACAGAGGACCTTAACTATTAATCAGAAATATTCTACATTAATCAGAAAGTTCCTAACAAGGGCAGCTCTTTCAAAGATTAAATCAATTGCAGCTGCAGCATAAACATGACTCTAAAAGTCATTACTGCTTTAAATAACTGGTTAATTAAGCCTACTTTCATTATGATACAGTCTCATTATACTAATGTTCCATCTCATTTCAAAACCAATGTAAATTTCCACAGACAAAACATTTTGGCTTATGATGAGGAGAGGGAAAATAATAACAATAATAATATTGAAAGAAAAATCAATGAAGACATAAGAATTGCTAAGGAATTACTTAGGAAATGTACCTTGCTTTATTTCCCCCTCCAAAATATCTGCTGTAACATCTCATTGACATGTCGTAATATCAAAGGTCATGATTTTGGAAAAGAGATACAGAACTTCATACATTCAATGTTTTTGTCAGCAACATTCTGACAACCCACAGGAGATTTTCCCATTACTCTTGTATTAAAAGAAAACTCAAACTCAAATCTGCTACAGCAAAAGGAGACGAGGCCTGCTCATCACTTCACACGCAGGCTGGGACAACAGAAAGTCCATAATCCAAGTAAATATCACTATTCTTGGGCCAAATCCCCATCCAAACGGTCACACACTGAGGAACTGCTCCTCTGACCAGCCCCCCTCAGCTGCTGTGCCCTCTGCAACAACAGCAAGAAACACAACATACGGTTGTCTCTCTCAGCTATCCTCCCTGAGTGTAGGAGCTACGGGACCGCTCTGTCCTTCCTTTTTTGGGTCTGTGTTTAGCTTTAAAGTCTCCTTGGAATGGAGAGCTCTCCTGTCCTCAAGGATCACGGGTGAAGGACACCTGAACCTAGGAGAAACAAAGGCAGAGGAGTGAATGCTCAGCACCTAACCCTTGTTCCTCCCACCACAAGCAGTTTACTACAGAGATCCAAACATCACAGAATAAGGGAATGAGAATACAACTCCTGGGACACAAAGCATGCCAGGTGCATATAGAGACAGCAGCATTTGCTCACAATGTAGAATGAAATTGATTTATTTGGGAAATAAAGGGCAGAAATATATGTAGTGATATGTGTCATAGAAATCCTTGCCAGTAAGGCACACACCAGTGTTTTCCTCAGAAGTCCAAACACAAGGTTTCCTCTTCCCCTTTCACCAGGAGTCAGCTTTCAAAACTGTGGTGACTACTTTGTTTCCAAACGCTGTCACACAATTACTTATTTTAAAAAAAGATGACTAAAACTTCTCTATTCTGCCTACTTGCATTATTTCACAAGCAAACTGGTGGGGTTATTTTTTGTGGGTGGGGGGAAGTGGGTGCACATTGAATCTGAACATCATTTGTAAATACTTCCAAAGAATACCTGTGCAACAGTTTAAATACTGGAAGTTTTACCTATTACATAGATACAAACAAGCTTTGGGATCTTGAAGTTATGCTTTGCTTAAAAAGTCACAAACTTCTAATCCATTAGCATTTCCCTTATGAGATTCAAAGCTTCTATGAGTTTGTGAGGTGTTTAATTTTTCATAAACGTATCTATGCTCAGTTTTAGCAGTTCTCCCAGAAGTAATACAAACTGCACTTGGGTTTTTCTCCCCAGGTATCCACTGTTAAAGATTTACAGCTGTAAAATCTTCCCAGCACTGAGGCCACCCACAAGCTTCCACTGCCTGGTTTTGCTGGGACACCCAAATTCCGATGGTTGCTCCACTTTGATCTGCAAGCTGGAGCTTCTGCCTCTCAATCAGGGAATGCCAGTCATGCCAAGTTGTGCAATGATTGATTCACTGGGGAAAAGGGCTCAGTCCAAAACAAGCACACTAACATCTTCTGAAAATACCCTTCTCTGTGTTTTTACTTAATGAAAACATTATATCAAAGAGAAGCCACAAACCAACCGCTTCTGCTGCATTATAGGTGAAGTGTTTTCAGGCAGAGCTCCAGTCCCAGCCAGTAATTCAAAACTCCCATGTAAATAAAGCTTAGGGCAATGTGGGATAAACAGGCAAGACAACACTTGCAATAATGCAGATACTATTCCAAGAGACAATGTCACTACACACAATATCCATGAATGAATATTAGCCAAGTCTGGGAAAACCAAGAGACCAAAAGCAGGATAGTGGATATCTGCTTCAGTCACCAGGGATTGCAACAACTGGGAAAAGCAACAGCAACTTGTGTGATGACAACATTCTTCTAACTACCAGCAATCCAATTTCCCAAGACTGAGAGCCACCATGAAGCTCAGCTTTCTACAGGAGAGAGTACCTAATTACCAAATCTTCATAAAACCAAGGAAAGTCAGCTTGATACTTCTTTTCAGCAGCAACAAGCCCCATCTTTTCCTAACACAAGGAACTGGCTCTGCTGTGCAGGTAAGCAAGACAGTTAAACCTGAGTAGAACTGGCACCTTATTAGGGTGAAGGTAAAAGCTTTAAATGCAGTAACAACAATAAGCCCATGTCATTTATTTTCCAGTTTTGTCTGTCAGCAATTTTTCTAATTACTGAAGCACCTTAAAGCATGATGTGAGCTCTACTGACTGGGCAGACATAAACAAAGCTTGTCTTTCATATACTGCCTGAAAGAATACACATTTGTTTACCTTGCCTGTCTGGAGAAGGGCTCCAGTTACCTGTAAAAGTTGAAAACAGGTGAGCTTTCTGAGGCCCAGCATGGGAAAGTGCAAGTCATTCCTAATAACTTCTTTTCAGCTCTTCTCACCTGCTAAACTGTGATCTCCTAAATATATAGAATATATAGTACATATATTCTATATAGTGTATATATATATTATAGTATGTACAAGAGTAGTATATATAGTATCTATATAGTATACAGAATATGCAGCATATATATTCTACATACATAGAATATATTTATGGTATACTATAAACTCAGCTGCCTTTTTGTTTCTCCACTCAAACCATAAACTAGGAGAGATAGTGGGTGGGAAACAGCAAAAAAAATTAAGTAAAGTTCTGTTTAAAGAATGCACACAACCACTAAATTCTACTCAGTTTAGGAACTTGAATGCAGCTTGGTTGTTTGGGCCACTTACCACATCAGACAAGTGTTTCACTGAGAAGCTGCTCACAAAGGCATCTGCAAGACTGCTGTTATACTTACTACTTTTCTTGGGGAGTTTTATTTAAGACACTGATAGTAAAAAGAGATTATTCCACATCATCAACCACCTCATTTTAGCTCAAATTAAGTGGCCTTTTAAATTAATTTTAGAATTTTGAGACAAAAATATGAACAGAAGCCTTTTGATATTTCTTCTACATCAGATACCTGAATTCACAAATATTCAAAAATAACAGAAGATACATCACCAAAATTCTCATCAGCTAATCTCAAGGTGATTTACATATAAATCATATCTTAAAAATATATAATTTGACATAATGGATATTAGAATACCAAACACAAAACAAACAAAAAAACCCCAAAAAACCAGCTATCAAAGAACATTTTTTGGTCATTTACAAAAATGAAATGGGAAAAGTAGTGCAGCAGCACACCCAGCTGAGGAACAAAATCATTAGCCAGGTGTCCCTTTTTTCTCCCTATAAACTCCAGGTTATAAAGGAATCACCTTTATGCTCCTTGAGGAAAGATTTCAAGGTGTACAAGCCAAACCCTAGGTAAGCTTTTGTTGCATTTGTTTTCTTGTTATTTCTGTCTTGGTTTTGTTCTCAAGCCAACCTGCAACTCTTGTTCAAACAAAGTGGGTTTTTCTGGTCACAACTCAGTGATCTTTAGGTACACAAAGGTCTCCACAAAGCTAAGGTGCAACTGAAAATGCAGAGGTGCCACACTGGAGAACAGAGCTGAACTTCAAAAACTTATATATGACCTTTATGAACTGCAGAAGAAAGAGGTGACAAATCCCCTAGTTATTATGACTTGGGTTTTTTTCCAGTAATAGGCAAAAAATGAATGGTAGCTCAGCAAAACTTGGGCATGTTTTACATGGACAGGGCCAGAGTGAGCTCTATATGGCACCCACTGAAAAAATGTAAAAAAGCAGTTGCAAAGTCTTTGGCTTGAATCAATATAGGGATAATGATTTACTCACAAATACACAGAGCACTACTGCTCCCCCCAACATTTACCACAACTTATTTACTGCCAGAGTCTCTTGTCTCAAACCTCCCCAGCCCCAAGTGCTCATCTCTTCACCCCCAACAAACCCTACAAAAGCAGAGCCTCTCCTGCTGTGATGTAACTGTGCTTGGCAGCCACCAGAAATAACCTTCTCACCTTCACAACTCCCATATGCTACAGGACCTGCTCAGGACAGGCACAGATCTCCCTCCTGAGGACAAGATATTGTTGCTTGCAGAAAGAACAAGTCGTTAAAAAAAACCAAACCCTCCACCACGCACGTGGGCTACACTTTGTGATGCCAACCTGAGATCATTTCCTCTTACTCACTTCCTAAAACAAAACTCCTTTCTCGAGTACAGGCTCTTTCAGTTCTTACTCCCTCGCCAGTTTCATCTGTCAGGTACTGAAGGCAATCAAATCCTTCTTTAAATGAACTTCAGTGCTCCAATCCCAACTAACAGGAAGTTCTTAAATTAAAAATACTGCTTTATAATACCTCATATAAAAACTAACATGCACTAACTGATCTAAATGTGCTGCAATGATTAAGTAATTTGTGAGACGTGCAGCTTGGGCCATCCCAAGCCCAAGGAAGTGCAGTTTCAAGAATCAGAGAAAGGCCTCTTTTCAAAATCAAAACCAAAAGTAGCATGGGCTCATAAAACCACCTTCAAGCCTAAGTCTCACTGCTTCAACATAGCAGGTGGCAATAAAATAACTGTATGAAAAGACAGCTGGGAGGAACTTTTAGATGAAGTCTTTGCACCTCCTGGAAGACTTGGGGCTTCACGTCAGGCTCTCCTAGGGCTGAACATCAGCAAGGAGCAGCAGGAGCGCTCAGTCCGTCCCCTTCCCAGCACAGCGAGCGATGTCCCAAGCATCCAAGTTCCCCGGGCAGGGAGCGGCCACCACGCTGCCACCACCCCGAGCCGCGTGTCCCCGCGGCAGCAGCGGCCTGTCTCTGTCCCCGCGGCTCCCCATGAAGCCGGAGGGCACAGAGAGCTGCTCCCGGCCCTTCTCCCTGCGGGGGCACCCCGGCCCCGCTCCAGCCCCGAGGCCCCGGCACGGAGCGGCTCCAGCGGCGCTCTCCAAATGGGAAGGGGCGGCACCGGAGAGACCCCAGCACGCCCCGCCGGCGGCCAGGCCTGCTCGGGGCTCCCCAGGCCTGCTCGGATCCTCCCAAGCCTGCTCGGGGCTCCCCCGGCCGCTGCCGCTCCCCGGCCCGGGCCCCCTCAGCCCGCCCCCCTCAGCCTCCCTTACGTGTTGTCCTGGTTGAAGTTGGCGAAGAGCAGATGGCCGCTACCGGCGTCGCCGCTCTGCCCGGCCAAGTTCATGGCGGGACAGCCCTCGCCACCCCCGTCCGGCGGGGGGAGGACGAGGAAACACCTCCGGAAGGCTGCGCCCCTCAGCCGCGGCCACCGCGGCCGCGCCGACCCCGCCGCATCCCCGCCGGGCCCTTGTTTACGCGGCGGGCGGCGGAGCGGCCCCGCGCCTGCGCCTTCCCGGCCGCCGTACGGCCGGCGCGCCTGCGCGCGCGTGGCGGAGCGGAGCGGATCGTGTTGCGAAGCTAAGCAGGGCCCGGCGCGGGCGGCGGTGGATGGGAGACGCGGGGCGCAGCGCGGATCCCCGGCGTGTCCCCGCTGTGTCGCCGCTGTCCCCGGGCTGGGCGCGGCCACCGCGGGGCTGTCACCGAGGCCCCGCGGGCACGCCCCGCGCTCTGCCCGCCCGCCCGTGCCTCTGCAGTTCCGCTTGGTGCCACGGGATGGCCCCGAGGCTCAGCGGATGAGCGGGCTGGGGCTCCGGGCTTGGGAAAAAGGAAAAAAAAAAAAAAAAAAAGAAAGAAAGTTGGGGGTGTTCGGGCTGGAGAAGAGAAAATGCGTGGAGATGTGGGAACAGCTCTCGGTGTCTGAAGGGGGTCTTGGTCAGGATTTGTAGGAATAGGGAAAGGAGGAATGGGTTCACATTGGAAGGGGGGATAGATACACAGAGGAATTCTTTACTGTGATGGTGGTGAGATGCTGGAACTGGTTGTAGATGCCCCCCCGGCCCTGGCAGTGTCCAAAGCTGGGCTGAATTGAGCATCCTGCTCTAGTGGATAACACAAATTGCAGGGGGAAAAAAGAATACAAAAACCAAACCAAGCCAAAATCACAAAAAAACCAAACAAACCAAACCCCAAAACAGCAACAACAACAATAACCAAATAAACAAAAAAACAACAACAACAAAAAAACAAACCCGAAAAACCACCCAAAAAACCAACCAACCAACCAAAAAAACCCAAAAAACCAAAAAACAAACAAACAAAAAAACCCCCCAAAAAACTAAACGAAAACCCTAAAAAACCCAATGAACAAAAACAAACCCCACCAAAAGCAACAACAAAAAAACCCCCACCCAGAACTGAAAAAGCGATTTTCAGAAACGGGATCAGCATCAAGGGATTAGTACAGAAAAGGGTAAATCTCACAAATATGAGCCCCCAGGTGTTGGGTTTGTGCCTCTGGGGCCGTCTGGCTCCAGGGGGTTCACGAGGGGGGTTCATGAGTGGGGCTCACGGAGCAGTGTGGGGTGATGGAGCCTCCCCCTCACCAGCCTGTGAGGCTAAAGGACCTCCAGCTGCTGGCACAGAGACCCCTCCAAATGGCTGAAACCCAAGGGGCCCAGCTCCCTGCTGCCCTGTGCCCACCCTGCCATGTCCACCAGAGCCAGCCCTGTCCCCCACACTGCACCCCGCAGTCACCTCTGCCTCCGCTGCCAACACATCCACCTGGCCTGGAGCTCTTTCTACCCATCCAGAGCTTCTGTTCTCCAGGGAGCTTTCCCCTGCTGATGGCAAATTTTAATCTCAAATTGTCTCTTTTTGTACCTGTTGGCTCTGGCAGTTTCATGTGCAGGAAAACGTCTCTCCCTGGGGAGATGGGATCACAGTGTGTGCTGCCGGGAGAGCCCAGCGCTGCCATCCCTGCAGGTGTGGGTGCTCACACCTCACTGCTGCCATCCCTGCAGGTCTGGGCACTCACACCTCACTGCTGCCATCCCTGCAGGTCTGGGAGCTCACACCTCACTGCTGCCATCCCTGCAGGTGTGGGTGCTCACACCTCACTGCTGCCATCCCTGCAGGTGTGGGTGCTCACACCTCACTGCTGCCATCCCTGCAGGTGTGGGTGCTCACACCTCACTGCTGGCACCCCCCAGAGCCCTTCCTCAGGGGACAATGCACAGAGGTATCTCCAGATGTGGGAATCCTGCAGGGAATCACAGAATCTCCTGAGATGGAACACACACAAGGATCAGAGCCCAGCTCCTGGCCCTGCACAGACACCCCAACCATCCCCTCCTGTGCCTGGGAGCAGGCTCCAAACCCTCCTGGAGCTCTGGCAGCCTTGGAGCTGGGATCATTCCCTGGGGAGCCTGGGCAGTGCCCCACCACCCTCTGGGGGAAGAATTTTTTCCTACTATCCAAACAAAACTTCCCCAGACAGCTCCAGCTGTTCCCTCGGGTCCTGTCACTGGTCACATGTGAGAAGAGATCAGAAGGAAGGAAAAAACCATCCCTGGGCTTCATGAGCCATTCCTCATCTAAAGGAAAACACTGCAAACTCCACCCTGCTTTGGTGACATTAAAAAAATATAAAATAATCTGCATTCAGGGTACCCCAGAATACTGGAATTTCTCCTTAACACCCTTACAATTACTCAGATCTTTACAAGGTGGGGAGTGCACCGGGGGTGGGAGAGCAAAGAAAAACAAGCTGGGCTCGTGGGCAGAGTAACAAGGAGAGCTGCTGTGCAGGGAGGGGACACATCCCAGTGGGGTACAGGTGCTGTGAAAATCTCCCCATCCCACCCTGGAGCAGCCCCTGTGATTCTCTGTCTGCCAGGTTTGGATTGCTGGGGCTGGAGCCATTCCCCAGCACGATGCTCGAGGCTTTGGTTGCCATAACAACTGGATTCAGGCTTCAAAAATAGTAACTTATTTTTCATTCAATTTGCCTTTTGCCCTCTGAGATGGATCTATTTTGGGATGGATGGTTTGCTTCAGGTGTCCCTTGCCAGCACCCTCAGCTGTGGGCTGGGGGCTTTGGGGATGGGGGTTATTTTGGTAAATGTGATTTATCATCCTTTCTTCTTTCTCTCCTCTCCAGGCCCAGAGAGCAGGTACAGCAGGGCACAAGAACCATGGCACAGGCTCTGCCACAGCTCTCCCCATCGTCTGGGGAAGGAATTTGAAAAAAAACCCTTCCTGGCTGAGTGGCAGAGCGTGGGAGAGTTTTTCAGAGATGATGTCACTCTGCATCTCAGCTTGGACCTGCCACTCTCAGCCAGGCCTTGGCTGTCCCAGATATCCTACTGAAAATGGGGTTTATTTTGTTGCCCCCCCACCTGCTGGATCCTGCCTGGTCCCCACTGGTGTTTCCATCCACAGGGGGAATCGTGCAGGAGGGCTGAACCTGCTGCTGGATCCTGGGGGACACCCCACCATGCAGCTGCACCTGCAGCACCCCCTGAGGGACTGAGCTGCTTTTGGAGGGGCTTGCAGAGGGTGCCAGGGTTAATTCATGCCTTGAATGAAGGGATTCCTTCCTTTTGGTCTGCTTTGGCTTTTGGAAGAGCTGTGTGTGCTGGATTTCCCATGGAAATGGCCATACAGCCCTTCTCGTCAGGGTGTCCTCAGCTGTCCCCCCTTCAGCACTGCCACAGCTCCAGCAAGGACAGGGACTCTTGGTGTGACCAAGGCTCTGCTCTTCCCGGTGTTGCTGACCTCTCCTTCCTTTCTTGTCCCTCAGCTGCTGGCCTGAGGGTGCCAGCAGTCCCTGGCACACCCATCTGCCCTTGGACAAGCCCCCATCACCTTTTGCACCCCCTCTCTGAGCTGCCCAAGCTCAGATGTACCTCCGGATGTCCCCTCCTGTAGGAGCCTACTTGGGTGATGCAGGGGAGGGAGGGGTGAAGGCTTTACGATGGAGATGGGCTGATTTTGGGGTCCTTAATGCTTGCCTTGCTGTCGTGCTGCTTTGTCCCCGTTCTCTCCAGCAGGGAGGGATGGTGGGGTGCCGGAGCTGTGCCCCCTCCCAGGGGCACCACGCAGCGATGGGGCTGAGGCAGAGCCACCCACCCCAGCTGGGACCTCTGGAAAATAATGGGGGAAAAAAAAATCATTAAAACCAAATAAATAAAAGCAAAGCCAAACAAACCAGCTCCATGGGGATGGCTCTGCCCCAGGAAGGGCAGAGATGCCTCGGGGACCCTCGGGGGGACCCGGCCGTGGGCAGCGGGGCCGGGGGGAGCAGGTGGGTACCGGGGGGAGCGTCTGACTGCCGGCACTCGGCGCTCTCCCCCTCCCCGATGCTTTAATCACATTTTCAATTCAAATCTGCTGCTATTTGATCCCCCGGGGGTGGCAGCGGGGAGGGTGGGGGATATTTTTAGCTGTGCTTAAAGCTGCCGGGGGGTGGAGGGAGATCGCGCAGGTTGCTGTGGCCGGGAAGAGGTGGAAGGGATTCCCCTCCACCCCCCCTTTCATTTTTTTCCTCCTCCTCCTCCTCCTCGTTGCACATCTGAGGGCGGCAGCGGGGCTGGCTCCCCCCTCCCGGAGGTCGCCTTTGTTTTGTTCGTGTCGCTTCTCCCGAGCAGCCGAGGGGGCGGGAGGGGGCCGGGGCCGTGCCGGGCTGGGCTGTGCCGTGCTGGGCTGGACCGGCCGCCCCTTCTCCTCGTCGGCCGCCGGAGCTCTCCGAGTTGGTGCCGCTCCCCCGGGCGGCGCTTTCCCCCCGGCCGGGGCTGAGCAGCGGCCGCTGCCCGGGACCCCCATGGCACCGCCGCGATGTTCGTGTCCCGGCTCCTGGATTTCCAGAAGACGCGCTACGCCAGGTAAACCCGTCCGTGCGGCGGTCCCCGGTGCTCGCGGAGCCCCCGAACAGCCCCGACCCCTGCCCGGGCTCGGCTGGGCTGGGCTGGAGCCCGAAAGGATCTCCGAAAGCTGCTGAGTGCCTCAAAGCACAGGGCAGGTGCGGGCTGGGCTTTCGGCTGTCCGCTTTTCTGCATCCCTAAAGGATTCTCAGCATCCTTCGCTGCCTTTCGCTGGGTCTAACTTCACCGCGGCTCTCCCGCGGCGGGATCCTGCCTTCCCGAGGGACAGACCCTAGCTCCGAACCCCCGATGGAGGGACCGATGTGATCCAGGACCTCCGCGAAACCCCCTCTGGGTGGCTCTGACAGCCTGAACCCGCAGGCTCAACAGGGTCCCCATGGGGTGCACGGCTGGTGGATCCTTTTCTCCCTCCATGAAATCCCCAGGGAGGTTTTCCAGCAGCAGCCACACTTGTTTGGAAAGCTGAGGTGTAGCAGGAAACCTCACGGTGTTACCTGTGCGGGGGGAAACCTGAGGATTGCTGAGCACAGGTCAAAGGGCACTTGGCCACACGCGCGGCTGCGGGATCCGATGTGGCCTTTAGGAGGGAGCTGGCAGGGGACACGGGGACAACACCTGCCCGGGATGAGTCAGGTGGCACCGGGTGCTGCACAGACGGGACCGCGGGCTGCTGGGGGTGCTCAGCCCTGCACCGAGGACAGGCTTTGCTCCCAGCTCCCTGGGACTGTGCTGGGGATGTTTTTCTGCCTGTGTAGGGTGCCACGGGCTGGCGCAGCTCCTGAGGGCACTGGGCTCTGTGCTGCCACTTCCAGACTCCCTGTGGTGCTGTTAGGGGTAGATACCAGAGAAAAACTTGTGTGAAAAGAAGTGGTGATGGTGTGTCTCACCTGCTCCAGGCAGGATGATCCCTGTGAGAAGTTAGTCTGGGCAGAAGACCGTCCTCCAAGCCCCTCCAGCCATCAGCTCCTTTCCTTCCAGGTGTCCCATGGGGAAAATCCATGCTTGCATCTCCAAAATCTGCCTGAAAACCTGGCCACTTGCTCAAAGCCCCTTTCAATGCTGTAGCTGCCTCCTGATAACCTTTGCTTGGGAGAGGTAGGAGGCACCCAGCAGATCTGCACAATGTGCCTGGTACAAAACCCTGTGAAAATGGAGAATTCAAGACTTTCACACCCCCACCCTGTTGGCATGCAAAGGACAGAGCTGGGGGAAACTGAGCTGAGCAAAGCTCTGTACCCCCCAGAGCAGGAGGAAAACCATACTTTACCCCATGGCAGGGGTGCAGAGGCTCTTTGGGAACTGGGCAGCAGATCAGGGGCTGCTCCACTGACATCAGTCTCCCCCAGCAGAGCCCATCTGCCAACATGTTGCTTGATTTATCCTGAACCAGCATGCTCCAGCCTCGTGGGGGTCCTGTCTGGAGACAGCTTGCTAAATGGGATGAGGATTACAGGGAGCCTTGCAGGGATGATGCCCACATGCAGGGCAGGGGCTGTGGGGCACGGGCAGATCCACAGGGAATCCTCCAGCTCTCCCTGTGTGCCAGGGCTGGATGGGGAGCAGCAGGAGATGGGTGCTCCCTTGGCTTTCACCCCAAGAAAATCACCAGCACGTGATGCTAACCCAGGGCTTCCTGTATCATTGCAGAGATCCTCTTAGGCCAGTGCTCAAAAATAACAGTGGGATAATCCCCATCCCCCCTCCCTCCATGCACACCAGCTCTGCTCTCCATGGAAATGCTCTGCTGGGGCATATCCCAAAAGAAACCCTAAAGCTGCTCCTTCCTTTGTGCCAGGGATGCTCTGAGGTGGGAGTTGGGGCGAGCAGAAGCCACGGGACTCATGGTGGCACGTGTCCTTCAAGGCAGCAGAAGCATCTCAAATCCTGTGTTCAGTTTTCACCACAGGAAAGATGGTGGGGTGCTGGAGCAGGTCCAGAGAAGGATAACGGAGCACAAGTCTGATAAGGAGCAGCTGAGGGAGCCGTGGGGGCTCAGCCTGGAGAAAAGGAGGCGCAGGGGGGACCTTCTCAGTGACCACAACTCCCTGGCAGGAGGGAGCAGCCAGGTGGGGGTCAGGCTCTGCTCCCAGGGAACAAAAAGGGCTCAAACTGCACCAGGGGAAGTTTAGATTGGATATTAGGAAAGGTTAAAACAGGCTGCCTAGGGAATGGCTGAATCACCATCCCAGAAAGCTGTCAACAACACATGTGGATGTGGCACCTGGGGAAGGTTTAGGGGTGACCATGGCAGTGCTGGGCTAATGGTCAGAGTCCATCTTAGAGGTCTTGTCCAACCTTAACAATTCCATGATTGCATCTTGCAACATCTTTTCAGAGAATGTGGCCTTGCTTATGGTGTTCCTTGAAAAAAACCAAAAAATATCAAAGTTTTCCTTGTGAAGGAAAAGCCTGGAACAGGCTTCATTTTTTCACATCATTTTATCTAATTTTGAGCCAGGACCAAGAAAGGAGGAACTTGGCCATTGATACACCCACCAAAAGGAATAAATAAAAGCCAGTGTGGTGATGAAAGACCTGTTGTGTGAGAACAAAGAGATGAAAAGCCGTGATCAATGTGGGAACGTTCTGTGAACTGCCAGGAGAAAACTCAGGGCTGGAGGGGCACCAGGCTGTCTCCAAATCCCTCCTGGCTGGGCTTTGGAGGTGCAGAGCTGGGGCAGAGGGGAAGGAAGCCAAGGGAGAGGCTGTCCCCGTGGTGGAGCAGGGTGCAAGGCAGTGCCATTTGAGCAGGCTGAGGTTATAAATGACAAACTCGGTGGTTTCTGCTCTGCTGTGGGGCCCAGGAGGCTCTTCCATCACTGACACCGTGGGGAAATGGAGTTTCAAAGCTCAGTTGCTGCAAGGCTTTCCCTGTCACTCACAATCCTGACAAGAAATATCCATCTCCTGCCCCACAGGCTGAGTTTAACCATGCCACTGCCAGCAGATGTGGCTCCTCCTGCTTTATCCACCACCACAGAGTTATTCCTCCCCTCCACTCTTCCTCCCAGCTCACCAAAACGGTGCTGGGTCCCTCCCAGACCAAAAGATCAGAGCAAGCAGCATCTTTGTCACTGGGCTGATTGGTCAGGTTACACTGACCTGGTAACCAAACCCTCCTTGACCCTCACCACCAGCTTTGACCCTCTTTTGGCCCAGTTTTAACTCAAGCATGGTCTGGTCCTTCCTGCCCATGTAGCTGTATCTCCCTGTGGGGACATCGAGTGCTTCCCAGATCTTGGCCATCCAGAGCTGTAATTGGAAGGAAATGTGATTAATCAGGGAGCTGCTGTATCCGGCCAGCTTCAGCATCTCTGGAGCAGCACTGGAGAGGCCTTTGCTGGGAGCTGCAGGGCACTGAATCATCCTCACAAACTGATAGCAGCTCCTTTGGTTTGTCCATGGTAAAGGCTCTAAATCTTACTGTGTTTGCTTGGCTTGCCCTGCATGGGGCGACACAAAGAGGGGCAGATGGGAAAATCCACATTAATGTCCCAGCCCAGGAGCAGGGGACTCTGTGAGGGGCTCTGTAGGTGAATGGACCAGGCTTGTCCTCACCTCCCTGTGCCTGCAATGCAGGCATTGCCACCTCCTCACCAGCATGAGGGGGTGGAGGTCTGAACTCTACACTTGCTCAAACCCAAATCCTCTGAATTTGGGGAAAGGCAGCTGGGAAGACCTTCCTTGTTTCTCCCTGCACCTGTAATTATTGAGCAAGGAGATATTCCTTAACTATTCCAGTACCTCTGACCAAGACAGGAAGAGGAGAACCAGCAGCAATAGGAGGAATAGGAAATGTTGGGGTGCTCAGACTCCAAACACAAGGAAACCAATGCCAGGCTGGCAGCCTGGACAGAGCAACCACATTGGGAAGACCTGTTCCCCATTGCTTTGCCATGAAAACATGAGCAGCCCTCGCCTGCTCCCACACACTCCAAAATGCTTTCCAAGAGCTCTGCTTCCCCCACAGCCCATGTGGGATGAAGCAGTGAGAAGGGAAATGCTTTCAGTGTTGATATCACAGCCTGAAGCTCCTTGAGAGGCAGGGGCTGCTCACCTTGCGAGCACCAGCCCCATCAAGACCTGCCAGCCTGTCCCCAGCTGAGCAGACAGACCCCCCAGTGCAAAAGGCATTGCTCCAAGAGATGGGGAGGCCCCCAAATGCCTGGGAAAACCAGGATCAGAGCTGTATCTCCCTGTGGGGACATCGAGTGCTTCCCAGATCTTGGCCATCCAGAGCTGTAATTGGAAGGAAATGTGATTAATCAGGGAGCTGCTGTATCCGGCCAGCTTCAGCATCTCTGGAGCAGCACTGGAGAGGCCTTTGCTGGGAGCTGCAGGGCACTGAATCATCCTCACAAACTGATAGCAGCTCCTTTGGTTTGTCCATGGTAAAGGCTCTAAATCTTACTGTGTTTGCTTGGCTTGCCCTGCATGGGGCGACACAAAGAGGGGCAGATGGGAAAATCCACATTAATGTCCCAGCCCAGGAGCAGGGGACTCTGTGAGGGGCTCTGTAGGTGAATGGACCAGGCTTGTCCTCACCTCCCTGTGCCTGCAATGCAGGCATTGCCACCTCCTCACCAGCATGAGGGGATGGAGGTCTGAACTCTACACTTGCTCAAACCCAAATCCTCTGAATTTGGGGAAAGGCAGCTGGGAAGACCTTCCTTGTTTCTCCCTGCACCTGTAATTATTGAGCAAGGAGATATTCAACTATTCCAGTATCTCTGGCCAAGACAGGAAGAGGAGAACCAGCAGCAATAGGAGGAATAGGAAATGTTGGGGTGCTCAGACTCCAAACACAAGGAAACCAATGCCAGGCTGGCAGCCTGGACAGAGCAACCACATTGGGAAGACCTGTTCCCCATTGCTTTGCCATGAAAACATGAGCAGCCCTCGCCTGCTCCCACACACTCCAAAATGCTTTCCAAGAGCTCTGCTTCCCCCACAGCCCATGTGGGATGAAGCAGTGAGAAGGGAAATGCTTTCAGTGTTGA